AAACAAATTGGCTTGCCTTTGATCAGCCATTATGTTCACCTTTGTTTTTTGTTTGTGTTGTGGCTGTTTTAAGCTTTTTTTGGCGTCGGTTCTTTATTGGCTTGCTTATATTTATGATTTGTTGTGCTTTAATTTTGATTTAGTATTAAATTATAACTGATAATTATTTTCCAATGCACTATTTTATAATTGTTGCCCAAAATGTTCTTAAACCGTCCCTGAATCTTGTTTACAAAATGTGCAAAACGAAATTGTGCATAGTGTCTATACCTTTTCATTGAAAGTTATTATTCTATCCCTCTCCATTAATTTTAATTTCATATTTTTCTGGAAAATATATAACGAGCGGAGTGTATGTTCCAAGAGGGTTTACACAGCAAACTGCAGTGAAGTGATGGACTCTCTCAGCACTTGTTAAAACACCAACCTGTTATCAATCTGTAGTTGCGAAAATTATGACGAGTTGCGTTGATACTATGCTACACCCTGATTCGTCAATGTTTCAAATTAGCTGTAACTCAAAATTATATTTTTCCATTATTTCGGTCGGTTGAATTCGCGGATCCTTGCAGCTAAAGTAGCTTCTGGTATGCGAAGAGATAATGTAGGATTTTGTAGTCTTAATAATTTAATCAACCTCTACCAACCATTTCATTTTCAGTTGAAAATATGCAAGGAAGTTTGTTCTTATCTGCTACTCTTCTAACATTGACCGAAGTCATCCCAACGAATCTTGTAAATGATTGACTGTTTCTTTTTGCAAATTGATGTCAAATGTCGCCTTGTGCCCACCTAGATATCCTTTTGAAGTATTTCCCTTTGAACAAGTCGCAGGAACGTGATAAACGGACGAAACATTTTGGATGTTAATAACCAACCCATTTTACCGCTTTGAACAGCATCGATGACCTTCCTCACTTGATTCTCATCTCACGACTGCCTTGAAGATTTCCTAATGTATGAAGCCATATCTGAAATGAAGTTAATAAAATTTTAGATAAAATGCACAGACAGACTAATATAAAATAGTAATAGTGACATCGCTATCTCACACACATATATGTACAAACCGAAATACAACCTCAACTCAAAAATTTAAAATTTTAAACAAACAATAAACCACCAAAAGTAGTTTCAACAGTATTCTTAAATGGTATAAAATGAACATTAAGACGTACCTTATATCGTGTACTGGCGTCTGATAACAAACACAAAAATATTTATGATACAAAACTTTCAAACGTCGCACATACAGGTATTTGCACGATCTACGCGACCAAAATTATTCTTACAACGTAAATAAATAAAATAAGTTATTTTTACAACAAATCTATATATTTTCTAAAAATAATTATATATTTACAAAAAAAAAAAATACAAAATTTTAGGTCGGCAAAAAAAAATTGTTTAGTTTCTTGACTTTCTTCGTCGCTCTCTGATGAACTTCCTGTTTCTACATGGGTTTCTGCAGATACAAACATGGCCAAGGTTTCAGGCAAAAATGTTTTTGCTTTCCTTTTTTTTTACATTTCGCATGCTACTTAGCACAGGATCTGAACTAAGCAGAAGGCGATTAAAAATGTCCTGATTACAACTTTCCCTGGAAAATTTCCTCGCAAAATCTTGTCGGTAACTTCTGAAATATTTATTGCGAGCCTCAGCTGCTTCCTCGGAAAGCTGTCCGATTGGAAACAATGCCTTTTCAATAATAACTGCACCATGCACTAAAATCTTGTGCATTGTTGGCGTCATAGGATGCCAATCATACAACTTAACATAAAGTCGAGCTGTTTCTGAAGCATATCTTTCATAATTTACCGGATCAATTTCAAATCCGCTTGAAATTGCTTCCAATATGACTTTTAGTCTGTATATCAGTTCATAGCTAATGCCAGTTATTTCTGCAGCTAATGTGGGATTCTCAAAGAACCTTCTGCTAGTATTTCCATCATTTGTATTCCCGAAATTGGATTTAGGCATATCTATTAGTAAACCTGTTTCAGTACGGAACCTTGTTTGTATCTCTCTTTTGGTTTGATCTTCTAAGTCTTTTTTCTCTTTCGATTTTCTTCCCCTATTACTTTTCACTTTAAGTTTATATGCTAAGTGTAGGATGCATTCAAATAATCGAATTCTAACGTGTACACAGATATGCCGAATTGAAGGGCTGTAAAATTTACTTCTCCTTTGTAATCCAATTTATTAAAATCTTTCGAGGTTGCCCCACATATGTAGCACCTACTCGTAGACGTTGTGCCTGTAGCTGTATTGCAGACCTTTCCATCTACCATGGTCATGATAAATGTGTGCTTGATTAACAACTTTTTCCCTCCTAGGTCGACCTCTGTTGGGACTAAAGAGGTAATATCGCTTTTGACGTGTGTTATTTCCTCTTCAGTTACATCATTAGTTTCCTTGATATAAACGGAATTTTATTGGTCGACACAAACAAAAACACTAGAATAAAAAAATATTTAAGGAAATCACTGTATGAAAATGATTTTTTTTTGTTATAAAAAAATTATAAATTGTATAATGGATAATCATGACTTTATTAATATAGTTTGGAAGTGTCTTACCTTGTCCATCAGAATCCATCACTTTCAATTCGTAAGTAGAATTTAATAACATAATAATTCACTTTAGAAGTTTAATGTTTAGAAAAGCACCGAGAACAGAGATTACACTAGCTAAAACGGTAAAATTCTGAATGACGCTAGGGTTGGGGGTGCGAGATAGCGGGTAGATGGGCATGGGTATTGTTCCCGGATTCGTCCTCTGTTCGTGGAACTCGTTATTATAAATAATGTTATTGTTATTTTGTTATTGAGACTTTTGGCCGCGTAGATCGTGCAAATACCTGTATGTGCGTCGTTTTTGAAAAATTGCTACGTGGCAATAAGCTAGTGCTAGCGAACAGAAGGAAACTAAAAATGGCGTCGGCATACGACGATATACCACATACTTTGATTTTCTTCGATATACCCACTTAAAGAAAGGATGTTGCGCATCGTGGGTGGTCCTTATTTTGACGTGCAAAGGAAAATGACGTAATGTGCGTGGCAGACGAAAATTGAACACCAGAGCACATGACAAAGAACATCTCTGACGAGAGCATCGCATCTGGGCACCTATCCTCGACTGGTGCTTTAATCAATGCGAATGCGCATTTACTAAATGCGAATGCGTATTTGCTCAAAAGCGTGTTGTAGCTATTCTTGGTCGTACGAATTTATATTGCGGGTGCGCATTTGACAGCGAGTGGGTTTTTGCTCTTCGCATTCAAATGCGAAGGTCCAAAGAGCTTGCGAAGGTCTAACTGGATGCACGTTTTAATATTGCAGTGTTTTTGTTTTGTTTCATAAATTGATCGTGACCTATAGGTATGATGGCAAATATAATTTTTTTTAAATATCTTATTACAAATTAGAAGAGGCAAATAATCATCCTCGAAGAGTTTATGATGATAGGAAAGCTCCTTTCAGACTTTCTGATCAAGCGTTTATCAGATTGTTTCGGTTAATTATATGTGTCTTTTTACTAATATTTTCCATTTTATAACGCTGCAAATTATGTATAGCCAAACAGTACATCAAAAAACAACCCAAAACCACGACTTCATGCTCAAAACCATTACTCATATTAATATTGCTTCTTTTTTGCGAATAATTTTCACAAAACAAGCGGTGTGAACTTTCAGTGTCCTTTCTAGCAGACAATTTAACATAAATAATCGTCGATCATACATGGTTGCCAAGTTGCCATTCGCATTTATAAAAGAGGATTACGAAGGCACAGATACGAAGGGTTAAGAATACGGTTTCTAATGCGTCTTCGCATTGAACCACTCGCATCTCTTCAAAGCGAGCGCTCAAACGCACTAGTCGAGGATAGGTGCCCTGGCTTAATGGCATACGCATTATTTACGCGCAACAACATCGGTGTTGCCATATGTTTTCGAAAATAATCGATTAATCGAAAATAATGAAAAATCGGTTAATTAAAAAGCCGATTCTGCGATAAAACGGTTTTCCAAAACATAACCGAATAATTGATTATTTTCAAAGAATCTATTTCATTTTTTCGTATTACTTTTAAAATTAATTATATTATCTTTGAAAATCGAAAATAATGGAACACATCTAGTAAGCTACAAAGGATGCGAAGTGGCAAAGAAGATACAATACAGAAGAGACCAGATAAGCAAAACAAACCACAATAAAAATAATTCCCAAACTAGACGACCTGTCATTAATAATACACAAAGAATGGCAAATTTAACATATTTAAACGTAACAGATCTAATCAAACTGAAAACAAATCTTTAACGAATCAAATAATGTCTATGCTTATGACAATTCTAGACAAATTACCAGAATAGAGGAGATACCTTCCCCCAAACGTTTAGACATCCTCAATCGAGCGTAGAGACTTAATCATTGTACCCGGAATGTCAGTGGACTTCTTGACCAACGAGAAAAGCTACAGGTATTCTTAACAGAACAAAATATAGATCAGAAATAATAAAACAAAGCTATATACAATTTAAAGGATACAAAGTCTATAGTACTATACATCTCTCGGATACCGCTAGAGGTGGAAACGCAGTAATAATAAAAGAAAATATTAAATTGTGACGACAACAAAATAGGAACAGAAGAAATACAGGTAACAGCAGTTAACATAAAAACGAATGAATACAGTTTCGCAGTCGGAGCGATATATATCCCACCACGATATAATTTGAAAAAAGAAAAATACGACAAATGGGAGAAAATTTTATTTTGGGAGGTGACTAAGTCCCAGTGTACTTTCCCCTAATAATATTGAATTATTATGGATAAAACAAACTAGACTTTAAGACAAAGTATTAGTGTTCTTTTTAATCGACAAAGACAAAAAACCTTTCCTTTTCTATTTATTTTTGCAAAGAATTGAAGTAGTAAAAACAGGCTTGTTTTGTAGTTTTGGAGTTTACTGAAATATTTAAATAAACATACCTTGTGATTCTGGTCCTGAACAATGCGGCATTGTATCAACTTGAATTGTTCCCAAAGATCTAGCGGCTTCCATATAAGGTTTAAAATAGTAATCAGTTGGTGGCTCTTTAAAACCCTTCTTCACATAATTGTAAGTGGAGATGGAAGCCCAATCTTCGGCGTATGCGGTGGCATAGCCGTGCTTCCTGTAATCGTACCATATCATTGGACACTTGTCAAGCTCCCCTACCACTTCGGGTTTACAAATAATATTGGATTGCTTTAGATTTAGACCCGTTATTAGAGCATTAAAATTGGGAAAGGTGTTGTCATCGATTTTGTTATAGCCTAAAAATTCGGTAAAGTTGTTTTCGATTAAAAATTCTTTACTAATAGGCATCGTTCTTTCAAAATTGAGTCTGGCGACACTGTCAATAACAATGAATAAAACGCTTAATGGTTTTTTCTTATCGGAGTTATTTGTTAGGTTTTCCATTTTAGCTGCTACGGACTCTGATATGACTAGTGTTGTGTGAACGTTTTGGTAAATTTTGTCAGCTCCTAAATAGCATTGAACTTTTACGGTATCTTCTTCCAAAGGAATTGTTGAGTTAAACATTTGACAGGTGGACAAACTGAAATATAAATAGTTTAGTGTAGATTTATGGTTATGAGTAGTTATGATAGTATTGTAGGAGACCGGGACACAATGTACACAAAGATGGTCTCAAAATAATGATGCTTACTGATGCAAGGACCAGTTATGCTTACAATGCTTATTCTGGGAAGGGCAGTAATGATATGAATTTGTCTACTTCGCAAAAAAAGACTGGGATTTACCTACTCAAGCTGTGATGCGTAAGCAGAACCAATTTACGGTTCCAATAGAAATGTAACATCGGATAATTGTTCTTTATCTTTGCAAGTCAAGTGGTGGAAAAACTACAGAAACAAAATCTGACTAAAGTTGGTACGTTAAAAAAAAAATAAAATCGAGGTACCTTTACAGTTTCTGGGGAAAACCAGAGAACCGGATTTATGTATGTATGGGTTTACCAAAGATGTAAGTGTACTGTCATATGTACCTAAAAAAGGAAGGTGGTGTTAATAATATCATCTATGCACCACTTTATATCCAATGATCCTGAATCTGAAGACCTGAAATTATAACTTACTATAATAACACAAAAGGAGGAAAAGTGTGCGTGGTACGGAACAAGTCGAAGAACAAAGATGGACAATGGCTAAACTTTACAGAATTATAGATATATTAGCAGTAAATGCCTATATTTTGTACAATTCTTACAAAAATAATCCACCATTAAAACGAAATGACTTCATAAAGAAGTTGGCAAAATCGCACGTCAAACCTCACAGGGAAACAAGGATTAGAAACCTAGAATACCAAAAGAAATACAAATACTGATTAGTCGAATCCTCAAGGTGGAAATGCCTATTGTTGCAGAAATTTTCTTGGAAAACAGAAAATGCCGTTGCCTCTGTCCGTCTAAATTGCATAGGAAAACAGAATACCTATGCATTGATTGCCAGAAGCCAGTTTGTATTGAGTGTTCCAGAAAAGTGGGCAAAAATTGTGCGGAAAAAGGGAATAGAAAACTACTGTACGAATTTTTGTGTTCAAACATAAATTTCTATTTATTGCATTTTTATATTATTTGAAGTTTTATTAGCTAGTTTTTGAAATATTCTTCCCTTGAGTGTTAAAAAGCCTCAAGGAATATGTAAGAGTTATTTTTTGTGATTTTTGGAAAATAATTATATAATAGTATTCCGTTTGCTTTTTTGTAAAATAATACTGTCAAAATATACTTGAAAATCATTGAACGTATGTTGCTTGCACTTAGTTTGTATCAACTTCTATTTGAATATCATAACAACCCTATTTACTAGTGGGAGTCTGTCAGACTCCACCTCAATGGTTATGTATAGAAATCTCACCTCAGTGATTACGAGTTAAATTTTGAAAATTATAATAATAATTAAAGTATTTTTGTTATTTGCCGTTTATTATATGTAATGAACGAATCAATTAAATATTATTACTCTGATTCTGATTTGCCTATGATATTGGTTAAGAAATCTATTTTTACTCACCTGATACCAATATCTGGATAATCTTCAGTACCTTTTCTCCTCACATAACTATAGCAGCAATCAATACTGTCGTTGGGTGAATAATACTGGTTAATATAATCTTCATTAATATGTAGATAAGCAGTATTATTTTTAACACTTGTATAAGTTAGAATACTTAAATCCGTGCAATTTACGTATGGCAGTGACATAAAAATCCGATTAGTTTCTTCTGAAAATGCGGAAAAATTCGGCATTCTGCAATGCGGATTGTTTATCATAAACTCTGTAACAATTCATCAATATTTATTATAAAACAATACAAATAATTAAATTTTATTTCATTTATAATTTGCAAAAAAATATATTTAGAAAGTAAACATATGGGTATTAGCCAAAGATGGACCAGAACACCCATTCACAGGACCTGAATCTGAACTAGAACCAAAGTCAAACAAATAATATTAGGAATCAGAAAAGTTATGATAAGAAGACCATATCCGGAGGGATTTCTCGAGCGGTTTCTTTAGTTTGTCCACCCAGTGCAAGCACATTTGCTGTTAACACGTCTCTTGTCTTGTCGGGTCCACATGCGCGCTTATTTATAAATTTGTCGAAAGTAAAATATCGAATTGTGAAATTATAGAAAGAGCACTAAATATCGAAAGCTTTAAAAAATAAATGCATTTTTAGTAATAAACCAACCATACATTTAATGATGGAAATGAAAAAAGTCCTAAACTATCCTACCTAATTAAAATTTTAATAATATCCCAACAAACAATTAATTACCGGTATATTGCTGGTCTTTTTACTGTAATTGAAGGAAAAATGAATGCGGCGATTAAAAGATGAAAGCCTACTTTTGGCCTTTCGATAGTTGTCCATCAATATGTGGGTTGGTGATGGTCTTATGAAGGGTAAGTAACTGTATGGTGTAAAAGAATGGTAAAAAGGCTTTTAACTGCGATTTTTATTTTAGTATAAAAATGATAGTTACAGTTCAAACGGTCCTACTGGTCAAGAAGACACTACTGAAACGCCTGTCGGCCTGTCTGATCATGTCCCTGACACATGGCTTTTATTCAGCAGTCAGTAATAATATGCTAAAGGACTACAATTTCCCGTTAATAGGCCATTAATTCCCAATATATTTGTTTCTACAGAAATTAAAGGGAAAATTGAGGCTAAGTGTCTTCGGCCCGATTGTCGGCCGTAGTGACCTATATATGCCGGCCTTTTAATTGTAAAAGTTAAATAGCCATTATTACAATTGGACGATAACATCTATTAGGCCTTTTATTATCTTACACAAAATGTTTGTTGGGATATAAAAACATTTACTATTATCCAGCTTTTATTTATTTAATTATAAAACATATATGAGTAGACATACTACTGGTGAAATGAAGGTGGAAAAGGCACAAAACTGTGTAAAAAATTGAAACTGTTCATTAAAAAATTCGGCTAATAAAGCTTAATAAAGCCATCTTCAGAGCCGTCCTAAAAGGCGTTACAAATTAAATTTCTTAATATTAAAGCATGACAAAAGACCTACGTCATTGATACCTTCCACATGGAGTCAATCAGATAAAACATAGAATTGTTAACAACAATTATTAAAGATGAACATTTAGGGGCGGTAGAGGCACCGAACCCCAATGGTAAAGTTAAAAGTAAAACATTAAAAGTAATTGTAAAAATTATTAAAAATAATAAACGTTTCTGGTACAACCAATGACATATATAGTTTATATATAGACTGCTCATCCATTCGTAAATAAAACGATGAAAAACGGTACATGAAATGTTTGTGTTTTGTCCCAATCGTGTGAGCTCACTGGCAGAGATAAGGCAGATAAAGATAGGAAACGTGCATAAGAAGCCAATGCTTAATAACGACCAGCTTTAACGCAATTAACATCTGACCCACTATGTGGCGCTTTCATGGATATCAAACAACGCAGCGGGAAATTTATAAACCTAATAATAATGTTCTTGTAAATAAATTTAATCAATGTAATCACGCTAAATTATTAATTAAAAAGAATACTACACTTACAGTCTATTATCGATTAATTATTGCAAATCTATTCAAATTAAAATATATATTTTTTAAATTTTTGATCGTTATTTGTAACATATTTTTGTTTTTATTTTCCAAACGAATGGTCAATGTTGTCTTATTTAAAAATCTTAAGTGCAAACTCAAAAATGGGGATTCAGATATTTTTCTTCCTATATCAAACTTGTACTTAAAATTATTTAAAATAGAGTATAAAATATATCACAGCCTGTTGCTTTCTTCTTTGTAAAAGAGATTTAATCTTAAAACTATCGAGCAAGTTTTTTATGAGATCTTATAAGGGTACGAGTATTTTTTATGACATAAAGGTACCGTAAAAATATTTATTGTACTTTAGGTCTTAAATAAATAAAATAGGTCTTTCAACGCCTAATTGTCTCAATAAATTTTTTAATACAAACTATTTTGTTGACAGTACCTTAATCGATGGTAGAATGCGTCTACCACATTTCTCCATGATTGTTTTATTTATTTAAGACCTTCCAGACTACATAAAATCATAAGTGTTACATATGATTGAACTCGTATTGAATAGGAGATTTCAATAATGGCTGAATATACAGAGTGATGAATTTAAAAAACCAGTGACTAATAATATAAGAGAAACGGCAAATCTGGCAACATTACAAATATCAAATCTGGAATCTCCGTATCCCAAAATAGATGTACCCCAAATTTTGTACAATTAGGATTAGCAATTTACGAGATAATTGGCCGTTTCCAGACTTTTGAGCCACTACGTATAATCGGATTTTGGTGGTAATCCTAAAATTTTTTGTATTTCTGATTTAAAAACCCAAAGCTTTTATTGCTTTTTTAGTTATGTGTAAGAAATGGTTATTGAACTTTAAATTAAAATGAAAGACAACTCATAAATCCTTTACCTCATATTCACGATTTAATGTGACATCAAAGTTGTGTCTAATGTAAAAAATTAAGAGGCTACGGATCCTTACAACTTAAAATATTCATATGTTTGTAAGTGTTAAATAGACGGATAAAAAGGATTGATTTTTATTTACAACTATAATAAGAACCTATTAAAAAGATTAAAAGAGATAGAGCATTTCAACAAATTTCTATAGGTACACATATTTTTGATACCTGATAATCAATAAACAATATATTTTTGGAGTAGCAACAGGTTTAATAACACATAAATATTATTTTGTAACAAATACTTATATTGTAATATTTATAATTAACCTAATAGTTGAAATAAGGCTTTTAAAAATAATATATTTTAATGTAATTGTTGAATTTATACATGAGCAATTTTCCTTATAGTGTTGTTTACATTTTGCAGAGAAATATTGTATTCTGCTTTTAGCTGATAAATCATGTACATGTAAATGGGTTGAATGTAGACAATGTTAATGTTTTTGCCTACTATTGCTGGCTAGGAATGCTGAGCTGGGACACCAACAAAAAAAGCAAGAAAGCACAAAGCACTAGATCAGTTTCTATCACTTATACACTTACAATTTACAACCATTTAAGTAACTAGCATGTTGGAAATACTTCACGAAAACATAAATCAGTCGAATGCAATGTATTTTCTTTTTAAATCACACCTTTTTAGCTTGAGTGAGCTAACTGATTCTTTAGCAATAAACTGTGACTCCAAAAATAATATTTACTGACACTGACAGCAGCAAGCAAAATATCAGGTGCGTTTTAATCATCCGCTTCTGCTTCCGGAATTGTCGGTTTAAAACACGAAAACCGACAATTCCGAAGCAGAAGCGAATGATTAAAACTATGGAGGGTAGAAAAAAGGAGGACAATCTTATATGGATCTTTATATTAAAAAGTGGCCACCAAAATGTATACAATTAAGATGGCGCTCGTGTAGCCAGGGGACAAAATCCAATGCTATATAGCCATATAGATTGCTCATTCATAAGAATTATTTATTGTTTATATTATTATTTTTCAATAAAATTTGACTATTGTCGTGTATTGTCAAAATTTATCTACGATCACAGAACACTTACTATTCTACGATCAGTCACTTTTCACGGTGTAGTTTTTAGTTTTTTATGGTTGAGCAATATTTATTACTATATACATCATTGGTGTCATTGTGTGATCTGAATTATCGACTGTCGACGTCCCCTGGACACAGAAGCGCCATCTTAATTGTATACATTTTGAGGGACACTTTTTGTATACAGAGATTGTTCTCCTTTCCTCTACCCTCCATAATTAAAACGCACCTATTAAAAATATTGCGCCATGATGTAGGCAACACGTAATAAGGGATCAAAATGGCGGAGTTTTCTATCTCCTTTTAAAAGGCACTCAGAAAGCTGCGCAGTGCGACCATTCTCCGTATAGTAAAAGAAAATCAAAGTATGTGTTTTAACCGGATTTATGACAAGTGATAGATTATATCCCGAAAATGCCAGAGCAGTAAAAGCTGCGCGTCTTTTTCTCGCCCAGGGAGTGTCATAGGCCTGGTTATGATATGAGTCTCATTCACTGAAACAAATTGAAGGTTGGAGTGGGTTGTATTGGTTTTGCAGTTGAAGATGTAGAGATGATTGAAAAACGTAAAGATTTTTATATTATATAAATTTATTTCAACCACGAACAACTAACAAGTTCCTAATATTGAATGAGCTGACATGTTTTTAAGATTTAACGACTTAAATCAAAGAAAATATGACACTAACATACTTAAATAAAATGGAGGGATATCCCTAGAAGCTTAGTATATCCCTCCCCTCTATTTCATTATTATATATTTTTTAGTTTTTTGATTATAAGTTTGGTCTAACCCGGGTTGACTCCAGAACCACTCGAACGCTCATTCTACTTGTCATATTGTTTTGTGTCAGTCTGTATATGTCATTTGTCTGCTGTCAGTTGTCAAATTTAGCTAAGCTTGTCACCTGCACAGGGTTTCTTATGTGCGAACCAATGAACTGGAGTGGGGTAGAAAGCCAATGTGCATATTGTATCAATAGAACAAGATGCGACTCTATGGGCGCAGCCATTTTTATTTCTCATCTCACTCGGGAGTATTTATAATAACCATTTTCTGTTTCACATTATTATTGTTCAATCCACATGCTGGTGGATCAGACAATAACAAAGTGAAATAGAAAATGGTTGTTATAAATACTCCCGAGTGAGATGAAAAATAACCTGTCTTTGCCCATAGACTCGCATCTCAAGCCTATTGACAAGCATTCTACCCCACTCCAGTTCATTGGTGCGAACTGAATAGAGAGAGTCATTACATAGGAATTGCAGTCTGTCGAATGAAGATAGGCGTCTTGTCATATGCTGTTTTGAAAGATGAGATTCCCACTGCTGTTGTACGTTGTACCCAATGAAATGGAGTGGGGTAGAATGCTTGTCAATAGGCTTGAAATGCGACTCTATGGCTCTATATAATATTATTTTTCATATCACTCAGATTTGGGACTGGACAATAAGAATGTTAAACAGAAAATGGTTATTATAAATACTCCCGAGTGAGATGAACAATAAAAATGGTTGCTTCCATAGAGTCGCACCTAGTTCTAATAATGCAACATGTACATTGACATTCTACCCCACTCTAGTTCATTGGTTGTACCAAAAACATGCATTATTTTAAAAAAAATTACAATTGCTTTTAACTCTACCATTGAGGTTCGGTGCCTTTACCGCCCCTAATCTTTAATAATTGTTGTTAACAATTCTATGTTTTATCTGAATGACTGCATGTAGAAGATATCAATGACGTCTTTTGTCATGCTTTAATATTAAGAAATTTAATTTGTAACGTCTTTTAGGACCGCTCTGAAGATGACTTTAAAGCTGAAAGCACTAGGCCGAATTTTTTAATAAATTTTTTTAATTTTTTACACACTTTTGTACATTTTCCACTTTCATTTATAAAATATATCGCTTAATCTATTTAATTTTAGCTTATCCAATAAATATTTTCGAATAATGAATACAATTTTAGTAGTTTCTACTATTGTTTACTCTTGTTTCTATAATTTTCGATATATTGTAGTTTCTTTATTTTGATTTTCAGACGTCTTTCGTCCACCAAATTCATCTAATTATTGTATAGCCTGGCGATTCTAAACTTGGCTCGGAATCAGGCAACATACATTAATTATGTAGAAAAGTGGGCCCATATCCTAAATTGACCCTCTAGGGCAGCTATACTCAACCTGCGGCCCTCTAAGTTTTTTTTGTGACCGCAACACTATTATTGGTCGCAGCGCAAAATAACATGCTAATTTTTAAATAAATGTTTGGAATTTTGGGGGGTTACTGCAAAAACAAGATAGCTCCACTTTTGGATTTTTCGAGTTAAGTAGGTACACTTTCTACAAGTGTGAAAGAAGTCTATATTTATGATAAACAGATAGCCAATAAAAACTAACTCCATGTTAATACATTAACAATATGGACAAACAAGATGGAGTGGCATTTATAGCAAAACATAATCATAACATTGTGTTCAATTGATAAATGTGTCTACCAAAACCAGATAATAGGCATATATTTAGTCCGATTCTTAATAGTGTTCCTGTCAAAACAAGATAAAGGCCAGAACCAAAGGGAAACCAATAAGGTCAAAAACGTACCTGTATTTCGGAAATCGCTTAAATTTTTTTTATGTAATTCAGGTCATTTTACTGAAAATCCACCTTAATTTTATGCGATGATCATTTTTCTCACCATTTCGGATTTCGAATTGATATTGTCCATGATTTTAGATGATGATTTTGGAATTTTCGAGCAAATGTGTAGTGATTTCGGTGATTTCCAGTGAAAACGTACCACTATTTCGGGAGTGGTTTGCCGCTACTTATTTTTGTTGAATGTGTTTGTTGAAATATTACAACATTGGGCCCACGCCATTTGTTTTTTATGACTAGAGCTGTCTCTGGCCTTTTTCGATTGTTCCGAAATCCACGAGATGATTACGTCACCCTTTCTTTCCGCGATACAGCTAACCCTAATAATAACACGTGATGTTCGAATCTCCGTGGTGAACGAGTGATTGGTCAAGATGTAATGAGTGATTGGTCAAGCTGTAACGAGTGATTCGTCAAGCCGTAAAGAGCGAATCTTTATGTGAAAATTCGTAAATAAAAGTATTAGTGGTAATAGGAGAATATGAATTTTAACCATACTTTTTAATAGACAACGTATCGAAAGATTCAGCTATTCTAAATATATTCCACCAGAATAATATATTTAATTTATTAATGGGCGAGGGTGGGGAATTCGGCTTTATATACCAAACTCGCACAGTATTTATTCAGAGGGATGCATGAAAGGATGAAAAAAAGTTTTGAAAATACTTACGAAAAAGTGCAAGAAGAAAGATTTACTAAAATTTTGCAAAATCAGATACAACAATAATGTTACTGAAACTTCGACTGAAGATAGTGATACATACATTGAATTATGATTTGTATGTATAGTTAAAATAAGCTAAGTGACGTTTTTTCTCTCCTTTTTTACCAATTATTGATAGATTATACTTTGTAAACAATGTTTTCAATGCCTTCTTCATTGGAGTTAATAAACGGTTTGAAGCTTTTATTGATTTTTTATTTTAAATGTTTGAATAGTGTTTTATCGAAACTCTAAAAATGTAAGTTATCTTGTTTTTGCAGTAACACAACGGGATATATTTATGTTTTGTGTTTAATTTTTTAGAGGTCCCTACTAACTAATTTTAGATAGATGTACTAAGAAAAAGGTCATCATCCAAAAATATTGCGGCCCGTGTAACATAGCACATATACGAATGTGACCCGAAGGAATAAAAGGTTAAGTATGGCTGCTCTAGGGTGTACACGAAACTGGGCCCAACTCATTTTGCGAAGCAAGCCGCGATGCTCTAGGCCGCACAGATTAGGTATATTAGTAAGTATTTTAATTTTTCTCATTTTGTGTATATATTTTTGCGAAGCAACCCATGGTGGCTCTAGGCCGCAGGGGTTAGGTAAATTAGTTAAGAACTTTTTTATTTTTCCCTGTCCAATTCTCCTACTTTCTTAGATGTCTGGTTCCATCTTCTTGATGATAGGAATGAAAATAATATGTATCTTTACGTGTTTACGAACAATTCGGATTACCAAGTTTTGGGCTTAGATGACCTATAAACAGCAATCCGAATTTTTGAAAATGTTGAATAATTACAGTATAAATTTATTTCAACTAGGTACCTATCAGGTTTATGTGCTAAAAAGCAACCTCAGTCATAAATATTATTTATAATCCAATTTTTAAAAACTAATTCTACCATTATTCGAATTTTTTTAAATAAATCTTATTTTACAAAGACTACATTACTGATTTGAACTTACCATTATTTGCCTTTATTTCTAAAATACACCAAAAAGTAATGAACAACCAAATCATTTTGTATCTATTCACTAAGCACTACATTCAAGATCAAGTTTTTATTTTAAAGAATTATGTTGTTAGGGTTTTAGCTATAAAACGTTAAGGAATATAATACATAAACAATACTGATAATCTTTGAACCGCCGAGGTTTACGAGAAAAAATTAAATCATTTTTGTTTATCCTCAAATTAATATACTACTATCCGTCCGGGTTAATAAAACGGGTGGGAGAGTAAAAAATAACATAATTAATTAGTTTCAAAAAGTTTTGACTATACCCATTATATAGGATGGCACACAAAACTCCTACGAATAGTTTCGTTAATTTTCATTTCGAGCACTTTTCTTTAGTTAATTAATAAATGTAAATAAAACGTTTCATAATTAAATTCTCCAGCAATCGTCTGCAACGCCGTGGGTCATTGGTAATTATGCATATGTACAAGGTGTTTCAAAGTTATACAGAGATTCGGAAATAAAACATATATAGGTCATTTACTGAATTTACACCCATATCGGATTAAGAAATAAATGAAAAATTTGACTGGTCAGTTGTTGTATTTTAAACATTTACTCATTCATGGGTGGCGTTATTTTGTATATTGCAAGGGGTTCTTATAGAAACAAAATAAATATAAATTTTAGGGATTTAATTTTGCCTCAAAAAGCTTAAAAGAGATAGTTACATGATTTTGTTGTTTAATAATAGTTTATTCAGAACAAAAATTTTAATTTACATACACAGTTTTACCCTGCGATTAAGTAAGTACGATGACTAAAAATAACATAACTTTTAAAATTCTATATTAAACAGTGATTATTATAAATAATTGTCTTTTGACATACCTATAAATCTTCAGCATCACTCTCAAAATTTGTGTCCTAGCGTCGCTGTCATCATTAAGGGATATATTTATAGGGTTAATTTCGTTTATCCTGTTTTCACGTGCCACCAGTCGTCAATTAATTTATCACATTTTTGAACACTTTTTTGCCAAATTTCTGGGGTTGATGTATCCAGTGCTTGTTTCCATATTTCCCTTACTGCTTCGTCGCTGTAACCATTCATTCCAATATGATTGTCATAATACGTTTTACTTATACCCCAAATGTGTTCGATGGGGTTAAACTGACAATGGTACGGTGGAAGCTGTAATACATCATGTCCATAACTATGTATGACTTGATCTACCATATAAATTTGTGGTGGTTCATGCCGTTTGGCTAAAGTTAACAACTCAGATTTTAGGGCGTATTGTGGAAATGCAACATTTTCGTTACGTAGCCATTCTTGTATTTTGGCTACAGTCCAATTCTGTCTTGACGGTTTGTTTAAAAGTTCTATATGACAGCTCGCATTATCTAACACTATAACAAACGGTTCACTTAAATTTGATAATAGTTTTTCATTTAACCATTTGATAAACATATCCGACTTCATGTTATCGTGGTAGTCTTCTGATTTTGATTTAGAGGAAAATATTAATCCTGCACCATCTGCAAATCCATTCTTTCCACCTGCGTGCAAGATTATGTGTCGCTTTCTCTCACCATTAGTATGTTTTACTGATTTTATATTTTCATCTTGCCATATTCTTTTCGTCCCACCTTTGGAAAATATCCAGGTTTCATCCAAATATATAAACGAAGCTCCATTCCTTTTAAACGAGTGTATTCTCTTAAAAAATGTATTCTTTTGTGAACAACAATATTTTTTTCACATAAAGCTTTTCTATTATCTTCTTTCTTAAATTTGAAATCTATTTCCTTAAGCAACTTCCAAAGACTTGTTCTGCCAAATTCACCAATTTGTATTTCTCTTAAGTTAGCCAGCAATGTGTCTAAGTTGACATGTTCCTTTTTCGCACGCATTTCATACACCATATCACGAATACGAAATTTTGTCCAACCAGATATATTCGACGTTTTCAGTTTTTTGCGAGGTGTGTATTTTTTTTTGCTCTCTCCGCTTTTGACGTTTTTCAAAACATATTTTAATTTTAAATCACTAATACCGAGAGCTGTACAGACGCGTTCATGCACACTCACTACTGGCTTTAAAGGTCCTCCGTTATCTTTTTCCGCCTTAAAATACTTATGTAGATTACAAATTAAGTCATCTACACGTAACACGCGCTTCGTCATTTTCAGTTGCAACATACATTCTCTTCGAAATCCAAAACTGAACTAAATAATTTAGTGCAATTAGTCCTACATCAGTACGAAAATAGAACATTTAATCTTAATTTTATACCTGAGAAGGGGACTTCCAGAAATTCCTGACCATAAAGCGTTTATTGTATTCGGGGAAAATGGTATTACCATAAACAATGTCCAAAACAAAATTATAAATATTTTTATTTTTTCGTATATTACTTTAGTAATTTAGTTTTAATAAACATAATTACATACTATATAAGTATTTAATAATCAAAATATATTCACCCTCTACCCACTGGAGGACTACGCTTATTTTACTAAACTACCTGATGCGAAATTATCCTGTAGACCGGCTCAGTCGTGCATCTGTTTCTTAATCCGATATGGGTGTATATCTTGGGTGGTTAGAGTCCGGACTTGCGCATCCAAGGGTCCGCGGTTCGAATCCCACTGTTTGGTAGACATTTTTTATTTAATTTAATTATTTTTAAATAATTCTGATATCTTGGTAAGATTCCCTACTCCGACCATTCACTGTTGGGTTCTAATTAATAATGCTGTTCTTGAAGTGGCGCTGAAAAACAGTAACAAAGTCTACACAAAACACACATTAATAAAAAATCAAACTAACACTGGCAAAGATGGCGGGCAATAAATTGCGCAAAAAAGGCGCGTAGGATTAAAGGATTAAAGCATTAAAATCAAAGCAAAAATGGCAATTATTTACTTAACAATTTTATTTTGAAAATCTCTATATTGCAAGGAACTTTTCAAAGTATGTCTCTAATGAATCCAGAACAAAATCGCAAAGAAAATAAGCGCACAGGAAATATCCTCACAGAAAAAAGCGCACAAGAAATAACCGCACCTAAAATGATGTGCACAAGGAAAAAACCACACACGGAAAAAACGTCTCGCCTCTAAAAGCGCACATGAAAAAAAGTGCACATGAAAAAAAGTGCAAAGTGTATATGACTTATATATATTTTCTTTCAATTTTTTGTTGTTTTGATTGTTTACAATAGTTTCTATAATTTGATTTCTACTCTTATTTATTCAGCATTATTATAAGTACGTTACAAAGAATAGGATAAATTACACTAATGGGGGTGGATATTTTACTTATCTTATATACAGGATGTTTCCTATTTATAAATAGTAAATAGTAACACTTAAGGTAGTTCACTCCCGACAGTCGTACACAAAAATATCGTCTAATGGTGAATACCAAAAGTTCGAGATTCTCAATGTTAAAAAATGTTATTCTTATAGAGACTGTACACAACACATGCAAGCTTATATATACGGATACGTTATTATTTCAAGTAAAATCCATCCGGCAACATCGCAAATATATGAATGGTGGGCTATCAAGTGAGTGTGTATGCCTAAGGAAATTTGTGACTTCCTTCTACTAATTTAAGGGTTTGTTTTGGTTCAAACAGAACCTTAATTCGATTCTAGTTCTCAACTACAGTGGACGAATTAATTTTACAAGAACACGTCGCGAGGTTATTTCAACCTCTTAGCTGATCGAGTGTAATTCAGCAATGTTGAACTAGTTTCACAAAGAACCAAAATAAGCCTAAAGTAATCTTATAGACATTTGAGTTACCACGCGTTAAGTGTAGCGATTAGTGTTGCCTAGTTGTAATTATTGTACCCCACTACGCGTCGACTGTTTAAATATATGTTTATTTTAAAAATTTATCTTTTTACCAAAACAGTCAAAAAATTCGGCGTTTTTTTAGATAATTTTATAATTTCTTGATTAACATTACATTATTTTTTAAAAAATATAGTAAAAACCGTTTTCGAGATGTCTTGAAATAAATTCATTGCTTGTGTACATAACAGGCTTCAAAAGTGTTAATTATGCATATTTTGATTGTTAATATCTCGTTCCACACGGTCAAAAAAATTTCTATTTTTTTTAGCTACGTAAAAGACACTTTCATTAACTTTATATTTCAATTTTATTGAATTCTTGAAAAAAGCCGTTTTACGAGTAAACTACCTTAAAATTAAAAATCCATAATTATTACATTTTTAACCCAAATGTATAATGACTCCAATTCACGTTTGAAGCAAAATTGTAGGAGGAAAACTAATAATACACTGCTAGTTTAATATAGTTTTTTTCTTCACCCACATGGATATTATCTTATCTACGCACAGATTACGAAACGAAAACGAATGCTATTGCCTTCAACTGAACCAATTTATTTCATATCCATTCTAGGTAGTGAGAACACTGCAAAAAAATGAAATCCGCCAATCATCGTTCATATTTTGACTGCTATTATTTTTAAAATTTTTGAATAAGTGACAATTCTGTCAAACTAATTGTCGGTATATTTTTTAGTTAAAACATACATTAAAATGGGTTATTCTTGTGTAGAATCAATAAATAACAGCATTTCTTTTTTTATTTCGTCTATAATTATAAATAATTTGTTAATTTAAATAAAACTTTATGAAGTCAATTTAATTAGACGACCATTTGCTTTTTCGGACTCAGAATGATCGGAAACATGAAAAAAAAGCTTTAAAAAATGAGGATAAGAAAATTTTTCGTCTGTACGAATGCAATACTGAGGCCCCATAGGAAGAGCCTCAGTAAAAATATGCTTTTTTCCGTGTGCGGTTTTGTCCGTATGCGCATCTTTTCACGTGCGGTTATTTTGTGCGCTTACCGTATACCGTATACCTATCCGCATTTTTCGGCATGTGAAATAAACACCAACAAGACATTTTCTAACAGCAGCCTTTGTAAATATTAGCAAGTCAGTCCTGTTTTAATTGCTAAGAAGTGCATTTTATGTGATGCGATAATGTCGAAACGTTCAATGTGTTTGAAGAATCTTGCTAAAAATAACACAGCTATCTTTGAAACATTTTTTTATAATACAAAAATCTAAAAT